AAAATGAAGGTTGGAAAAAAATTTTCAGAGATAAGAATAAATAATCTAATATTTGCCGCACTGAAAAAAATATAGTCAATTTTAATAAATATTTAGTTCAATACTGCCAACTTAACTTAAACATTTACTTACAGTAAATAAATATATCTTTATATTTAATAAATATTTAGTTGGCAGTATTGAACTAAATATTTTGAACTAAAAATTGACTATATTTTTTTTCAGTGCATTTATGTTAATTACACGTATTACGTTAATTATGCGCATCCTAGAATAAAATACTAAAAAGCCTTTGGGCTTTAATACTTTGATCGTGGAATTACAACATTCTTATCAATTAATATTTCTTGTATTAAGCCTTTATGACACGATTTTTCATGCCAGATCGCACACATATATATGTATACAATTTAATAAATTACTAGAATTGCGCCACACGGCACGTAGAGAGTTTCTAGTAATTTCCTATTACAAATCAAATGCAAAATCTAAGATGAAAAATCGCATCGTGCGCCGTAGACTTTGTTCACAATCGAACAAATTCCATTCCCATATCTCACCTTCCCCATTCTCTTATCGAGGAGGATGCGCAGATTTCGAAATCCCTCGTCCCGAGTCGCGCGATCATATACGGCGGGAAGGGTGACGAATATGCGAATGTATGTACGCGGAACGGTGTCCGATACCCGCGCGATCTTCCGGATAAATCGCGGGCTATTTTTGGCACGTTGGCAATTAAGTATAGTTAAGCGAAGCCGACCCAATTTACAAATTTGCGCACGTTATTATTCGCGCGGAATGCGAGGAATGCGGCAAGTGAAAAAGAGAGGAAAACAATTGGACAACGCGGACGTTGTGTAGGAAAAAACAAGCCACATCCCGTCATAAAATGTAAAAAATCATAATAATGCGTGAAAAAGATTATAAAAATTCTCTGCGATACTTTTTTTTTTTTTATGAATTTACATATTACAGCACTTATATTTATAACAAATTACCATATATGTACACAATTTGTTATAAACGTAAAAATATTGTAATATGTAAATATTAAAATATCACAGGGAATTTTTAATCGTTTTTACATGATATTGTAATTTTTTATATATTATTTATGTTCATAACAAATATATATAATACAATTTGTTATAAACAAAAATACTATGATACGTAAGTTTTAAAATATTATAAACAGTTTTTATAATATATGTATAATGTAATTATTGTACATATTATAATTAATAGTAATTCATATCATAAATTATACGTGTATGATATGAATCATTAATTATGTACAATAATATATTATAAATTACCGAAACACGTTAATTATATGATATTATCAGTACAAATTTAGAGAAAAAAAGATATAGTGGTGACAAGAGTACAGAAGTTTTATATCTAATTCTCGTAACACCATTCAGCTTTATATTTTTATAATTGCACTAACTATAAAATAGTTCATTCAACCATATATATGTCCATTAATTCTTCATATGAAACTCGAATAGTTGCCACACCACCATAAAAAGTGCTTCTTTCTTTTCTGAGTGCATAGCAAATTAATTCGAAAGACACGTTACGCTGCAATAAAGAATTAAATCGCGGTGCAAAGATAAAAAATTTGTTATAATATTTTTCTCGTTACTCGTATTTATATTACATTTATAACGATGCGCAACAGCTTGATTTATCATTGTCGTGTCATTTTCGTTTACTCCGATTTAGCGCCAGTCGAGTCTTGGATTTTCGATTTCAGTCAAATCTGCTCCGCCGAGAGTTGCTGAGGTGGGGGGGAGGGCATCGATTATAAACAATCATGTAATATGCATGCATCGAGTTTGGGGAGGGAGGATGCCCTGCTTCCATAATGTCTCTCGCGGATTCCGAGTTGCGGACATTTCATGCGCGATAAGATCGCAGATTCGGACGGACAGACGGAATTCGTAATCGAATTTCGCCGACGGAGTTTGTTTACACGTAGCGGTCTCGCTGCCGCCCCCGCCGTTATGGCTGGACGTTACGTATATACGGCGCTCCTGAAATTCTATTTCGGTTCCACGAGAGACGCGCATATTTGGCCTATTATCGCCATCCGCGACCCGCACCCCGCAACACCCTGCACCAATCAGGCGGCGGCGGCGGCGCCGCCATGACCGCACTGCAGTTCGGCACGTAGGCACGTTGCCGGGTCGCTCGCGCGACACGAGAGACATCTGTCGCCCGACACCGCAGTTAGCACGAGAAATAATTACCGACCGTAAGTAACGCGACAAACGCTATCAAAGATGTGCAATTGTATGGATAAGGGAATTGATTCTGTATCTTGAAACGAGGTGAAAATTATAAAAGTGAGCGAATTTACTAGAATACTGACAATCTCATTGGTCAACATCTAGTAAATTTGTTCACTTTTGTAATTTTCACCTTGTTTGAAGATACAGAATCGACCCCAAGATAAAATGTATATTATTTCAGTTTATTAATAAATAAATATAATTGCAATACACTTTTTTGACATCTTCAATACCACATTATGCGTGCGACAACATGAATCTTTTTACGAAACATATATCCAATGTTTAATTTTGCGACTCATTTATAAGATGATTTTCAATATTTAAGATGTAACGTTCTTTGCATAATTTTGTATTGAAAATGTTTTCGATCTAAACTTATGGTCGAAACATTTATATTTTGAAGACTAAGAACAACCATGTGTATGAATACATAAGTACGATAGAGAACGCCAATGAACGGTCAAAGTTTAGATTTTTCGAATAATACAATATATATTCTTCATTAAATCAACTTTTAAGATATGATTGCGCGCCAAAATATTCGGACATTCCTATATTAAAGTCCCAGATTCGATCAACCCTGGCTGAGATAATATTTTTCGCAAAAAGTTCTTTTCAGTGTTTCTAATTTTATTTAGAGGGGGGATTAATTATTAGCGTCTCAGACTGATTGTGTTGAAAGTTCCAAGGTTTCGGCGCACAGTCATATCCGAGATAAATTGATTTAATATAGGAATGTCCGAATGTTTCGGCACGCAATCACACATACTTTAAAGAAATTGATTTAATAAAGAATATATATTGTATTATTCAAAACATCTAAACTTTGACCGTTCATTGGCATTCTCTATCGTATTTATGTATTTATATTTTAATATAATGAAAAGAAGAAACACACAAATAGCCAGTGTTAGGTCCTTGTAAGTATTATTCTTTTCATATTATTTTATATTGGGTGAGTGCAAAAATTTGTGTCCAATTTATTATTCAAAATTCAAACAGCTGCTATTTTTGTTAAAAATAAAATAAAATCTAAATCTTACTCTATGAGAGAATTTAAGAATCCGTTTTTTTTTTTAATTGCGATGGTTTTGACAGAATTATGAGCAATCAAAGTCAAAATTCTTTTTATTTAAGTCGCAACAACTCAGTAACAAAAAATGATAGGGATGTTTTTAAAAAAAAATTTTATAGGGAAAACTTTAAGCTTTTACATCAGAAATTCAAAAATTTTTGCAAATTTTTTTTGGATATATGACAGATTCGACCCACAAAGTGAAGAAAAAATTTTCCGTTTTGTTCAACTCATAGTTTCCTGTATGTAAAAATTACAAAACTCACATAAATTCAAAAAATATTGTAATCATTCGAAAATAGAGATTTCAAGCTTTAAAACCCTTTTTTTTAAATTTAAATTTCGTTTATTTTTAACAAAATTGAAGCTGTTTGAACTTTGAATAATAAATCGGGCACGCATTTTTGCCACCCAATACATATGAGACCTACTTGTTGATTCTGCTATAGTTAAAGTTTATCATTAATAAACTCTTTATAGAACAAAATAGAGTGAAACTCTATCATGCCTATTTTTACCAATGTAATTTAATTTTAATCTTGGTTTAACTGATTCTTCATCTTTTTCTAGTTTTAAGAATTGAAAAAAGATGAAGAGTAAATTGAACCGAGATTAAAACCGACAATAAAATAGGATTTCAGATAAGACGAGATTAAAAACTTTGGTAGAATCGGCATCAGTGAACCGAAATGCTTGCGACTTTACCGATCCTCGGACCCACACCTTATTGGCGCCCAGAAGGGCAGCTTGCTCGTTTATCGGCGAGTGATGGTGTCACGTGTGCGATACAAAATTAAAAAATAAACAGAGGATGCACGGAGAGAGAGGCTGTACGGGAACGATGAACTCTGCGTGTGTGTACGTCGTGCAAGGGCCGACGCCCCCTTCTCAAGGCGAGCAACTCTTGCGAGAGAGATTGCGGAATTTTTTTACGTCGGCCATGTTTGCCGTTCATTGGTCGGGCCCTTCGCCCTTACGTAGCTTGTCTAGGACCTAGCCGACTGACTTAACCACGGGACCCTGTTCTACGTTTAGAATTACGCGCGAGAAGTAAAACCGAACGTTTTACACCTCCGTGCTCATATGGATGTTCGTTTTAGCTATCACTTTCCATTTTAAATAAAACGAGAGCGTAAAGTCTCCTGCAACTTATCTTAACAATGTTAATAAAAAACCAATAAATATATAAAGTTTTTCGTCAGTAAATCTATTTAAAAGACATTAATAAGAAATTTAAAAAATTGTTTGCAAAATTTAAAAATAAACAGCCAAGAGATCATATTTTAATATATTTTAATGCAATTTTATTAATATTCTGCTTCAGATTTGGAATTTAATAACTTTAACATCTTGTGATAAATTTTAATTAAAAAATATCAAATCTGTTTAATGGAATGGATGCCAGTGTAATAGAATTGTTATAATTTATTATATTCATTAAATTTCTTCATTTCAATTAATAAATTCACATTTAATTTCATTTACCTTACTTAATTCGTATCACTAAAATTAGGATCACGAGATACACTCACGCATTGAATATTGCATGACTTTTGTAACAGAATTCACCGTTCCTTTGCAGGGCACATATTAAAAAAAAAAAAAAAAACAGATTTTACACTCACCATTGGAAGGCATTGAAGTGGAAGTAAACGAGACCCAATCCATATAGAAATGAAACATCCTTCCAGTAGTCGCCTTTTAAAGAGTAGAATTTCTGATATGCCGACATTGCTGTAACAAGAAAAAAGAAAATAGTTATCAGAGCAAGTTTGCTTCTTAATATAAATAAAACAAAAATTGTTTTACTCAAGATAAGGTTTTAAAGTGACAGGAAATATACAGTAAATCAATGGAATTTGAAGCCTTAGGAAGCCCTCCTGTTATTTGTTTTGACAGGTTTCTCAACTGTTGTGATATGATATATCTACGTATCTCGAATTTAATTTCTCAATTAAATTCTTCATTATTTGATTCATGCAAGTGTTTATTTAGAATAAAAAAATATAAAAACGATAATCTCGTTTACTTGAGAGAACATTTTCAATCTGGAGTGACCAAATTATCATATTACAGTCGTATAAAAATCTTCGAATTGACTGAACGGAATAGAAAATCCTTTTACAGGATTAAAGTAAACGCAAAATTAAGAGGTGGTACAGTGGACCTTGTACTAAAATAAAAAAAAAGTTAAAAATTTTTTAATATTCTTTCGATTTTAGTTTAAAATCCACTGCACCATCTCCTAATTTTGCGTTTACTTTAATCCTGTAAAATCCTGTAAAAGGATTTTCTATTCTGTTCAGTCAATTCGAAGATTTTTATACGACTGTAATGTGATAATTTGATCACTCCAACATCCCCTTAAATAATTAATATATAACTAGCCTAAATTTTTTTTCAATAGATGTGAGAAATATTCTAAACTGTTTTATACAAAAAATAATACACAGAAAGGGAGCTATATTTTATTATTTTTATTATAACCTCCCTTAATATCTCACTATTTAATTTATAAAACAAGTACTTATTCTAAATGGAGAAGAATTAAAGAAGACAGTTTTATTTGCTCGACACAACGTTTTCAATTATAAAATAGAATTTGATTCAAATGAGAATCACAGATTGATCTGAATTTTAAACAAATGTGAAACATTCCCGACAATTTTATAACAAGGTATACCTTGTCATAAAAAAGAAGTTATACCTTTGCTATAATCTTCTAATAGTAGATGAAAGTGTCCCAATTTGCAGTACGTCTTGGGATCGATGCTTATTCCCTTATCCTCATCTTCATTCTCCTTGGAATCGTCCGGGCACGCTTTTGTACTATCAGCTTTCCTGCGTTGATTCTCTGTCTGGGCCTGAACCAGCATACGCTCCAGGTATTTGATGGCACGCACCACCAGGGCCTTCCTCTTCGCCTGCTCCGGGGAGTTCAGCTTGAGGAAACCGAACTGCCGGCTGTGCATGCATACAAGAGAGAAAGTGCCTTCAGTTTCACGATGTATATATTATCGCATTTACGCGCGCATTCCGCCCGGTCGAGAGACTCGCTTGCGGAACGCTTGTGTTTACGTCGATCGTCGTAACGATCGCCGCTCGTTATAATCGGCAATCATGCCGGTGATTTAATAATCGAGATCGAGACGGTGGGTACGCCGGCCATTCGGCTCCGCGCGCGCATTGTTATCGCGGCGAGATTTCGCGACAAGCCCGCGGAATGTGGTACAGATCGTACAGAGACGGAAAGGCGAAAACGGTGTCAGTAGGTTGCGCACAAGCGCGCTGTCAAACGCAATTTTCTAGGTTATATACCCGTGACGTGATACTCGTCATCTGGACGAAACGGAAGCAGCGACATTAATACCGGTCGCCGGAGGACACGAGGTGTACGTGGAACCGGGTGGAGTTAATCACCTGTCCAGCTCCGACAGCGTCTGCAATTCCTGCGGCGTGAGGTTGATGTCGTCGGTGTCCTGTGCCATTTTATGCACACTCTGTCGCGGTCCCGGTAAAGACACGCGCGTCACACATCCGCGACCCGCGCGAGACGGATATCACGCACGCACGACGACGACTCCGAAACCTACAACGAGGAAGTCGCGCGCGCGCGCGCGATTATACGCGAGTCGATCCCACGGCGCCG